CTGGCTGAGCAAGGTTCATTCATTAGGGGACTGTTTGGAACAGGTTATTTTCACTTGGGGTTCATCCCAGAAGGGAGCTGCTGGGTTTAGCCTGAGGTTTCTGAAAAGCCCAGGAAATCCTGCCACAGCAGTACCTGAACGGTAAACAACCGCACGCTCTGCTCACCCGAAAGATGAATGAGTCACACCATGTATTGGAAGAACAGAATTTGGTTGCTCGGGTGAACAAACAGCCCGAGAGGGAAATAACATTTCTCTTTTTCTTCACATCTACGCCCATATTTATCACTTCGTATAAGCTACCAAGTCAGTCTTACTGCCTGAAGCCTCTGCTCCCGAATTAAAGGGAACAGCTAACGACCTTCCTGCCAACGAGCCGCAGGACCACCAGCCCAAAGGGCACCTCCGGCACCCCCTGGGACCACAGAGACCACAGGGTCCCAGGCACAGCCCCCTGAGGAGGTCCCTGCCACCCACCCCCACGTCCAGGCACAGAACGATCCTGCTCGTCCCCGCAGACGGGCCCTCGGCCTTCACCTCCAACAGCCCAAATCCATCCGAGCTGTTTGGAATCCACCTCTGGAAGCTGTTGCCCAGCTGCTGCCCATCCCAGCTCCGGAACCGTGCAGAAGATGCCGTTCCCAGCACGGCTGGCAGCCCGGGGCTACGTGTGCTCAGGAGGGTCCTGTCGCTCCAGATGCCCTGGAATGAGACAGGGTTGGCAGGACACGGGCTATGGGCTACTGGTTGATCACAAGGGCTAAAGAGGTCACCGCAGGGTGCACACGACGGCTGCTGAGGTGCGAAAGGGCTGGCAGCCGGCGTTTCCTTTGTAAATCTATCGACGCTGTAAGCACAGCCAACCGGGGGAACCGATCCCGGCTTCGGAGACCGGGAATTGCATGGTGGAGTTGACCCTTTCTTTTTCTGACACACATCGAGCGTGCACATCCTCGAGGCTCGTGCACGTCCTCGATCTCTGCCCTTCATTTCAGAACATTAGGGCCCAGGGTCTCTCCGTCGTGCACTCCAGGCTCCATCCCCCTTCCAACGGGACCCTCACCAGTTTCAGTAGAAGCACTTGCTTTATTAAAGACCTCGGGAAGACTGTGGCTTCTGGAGCAGGAAATAAATAGCTGTCAATTTTGCATTCAATTAGAAGTTGTTATTAACACTGACGTATGCTGAGGAAGTTCTGCAAAGGGTCTTTATATTTCACAGTTAGCAGTTTTTTACATTAAAGAGAGCCACAGTGTGCTCTGATTAGAAATTAATTAAAAACCCCAGAGCTTGGTAGATATCACGGGTAGCTGCCTGCAGGACTGCCGTGCGGTGCCACCGCGCTGCGCCCACAGCGTGCTCCTGGGTGAGCTGCTCCCCTCGGCCCCAGCCCACGCGGGACCAAGGATCATAGAATCATGGAATCACAGGATGCTTTGGGTCGGGAGGGACCTTAAAGCCCCCCCAGTGCCACCCCCTGCCATGGGCAGGGACACCTTCCATAGCCCAGGGTGCTCCAAGCCTCATCCAGCCTGGCCTTGGACACTCCCAGGGATGGGGCATCCACAGCTTCTCTGGGAACCTGTCCCAGTGCTCCCCACCCACACCATGTCAGACACGACTTTCCTCCTCTTCCACTGCCCGGTGAAGGCCTGGAATGAATTTCAAAAGATGCTTTCGGACACTGGACCTCCTGCTTTTCCGTGGGAGGGTCCCAAAGCTACTGCTGCAGCTGCTCCCCTCCCAGAGCGGGGACATGGACCCGCTGCTGGCCAGGCTGATGCTGCGGTTCCTGCGCAGAGAGGACACCCCGGCAGCGCCATCCCCATCCCTGGGGAAGAAGCAGTCGTCGTCTATGCTCGACTGGCGGCTCAGGCTCTCCGTCGCAGAGTCCTCGAAGGCGCTGCTCTGGTAGAAGCTGTCCTCGCTGCCCACGGTCATCAGGCTGAGCCGGCTGCGGGAGCTGCTCTCGCTGGAGAAGCGAGGCTTCATTGGCAGGAGGGGTGCCGGCATGCTGCAGTCACCCAGCAAGCTGGGCTCTTCCAGCTCCAGCGCGCCCAGGAGAGCGTTGGCATTCACCTCCCCTGGAAGCAGAAGAGGAGCGTTACTTACCGGCATCTGCTCGTGGCCGTGAGGGCGGCTGTGCCGTGGTGGCCCAGGGAATCATCGCGCCCAGCACCTCCACACAGGGCGCAGCCCCCTTCCCTCACGGGAAGCTGATTCCCGGCTGTGGGCTGCTCCCCACCTTCCCCCACATGCAGAATCAAAGCTGTTCCCTGGGCAGCCCATAAAAAAAACCCCAAACAAGCACCACTCTCCCCTGCTAAGTCCAAAATAGGACTTAGCCAGGCCAGGCTGGACGAGGCTTTGAGCAACCTGGTCTAGTGGAAGGTGTCCCTACCCATGGCAGGGGGGTTGGAACTTGATGATCTTTAAGGGCCCTTCCAACCCAAACCATTCTGTGCTTCTATGATTCTATGAAATAAGAATGGAAAAAAGCTTTGCAACCCGCCTCAACACCCCGTTCCTAAAACCCATGCGAAGGAGCCTTCGGTCTGCATTAGTCAAGCACCATCCCAAGTCACCAGTCCCGGAAAAAGCAGCT